ACTATGTTGTTTAAGGCTTCCTCTAGTGCTGCCCCGTTATCCATGAGTGGCGTCACTAATGGTGGTGTAACCCTGTCGGTCCCAGGTAACTTCGTGCTTGTCGAGATCCGGGCCTTGACTCTCTGCTTCAACGTCTTTTCATTATTTATTTCAGGATCCATTAACGCGTTGCCGAGCCCTCTGGTTCTACTCTCTCCAGGTTGTGGCTCCGAACTTGTCCTAATCGCGAAGTCCTTTGACTGGCCCGGTGTGTTTGCCTCCTTGCTTATCGTTGTCACTACACCAAATTTGTCCATGGTTCCAGTCTCTCTTCCTTCGTGTGCCTCACTCTCCTGGATCGAACTATTGAGGCTGACTTGAGATCCAAAGTCCCCTTGCTCTTCTTCATCTTCCTCATCCTCCTGGGACTCACCATCGTTTCCTGCTCCTCCTCCCATGCTGAATGGAAAGATGTTTCCAAAGGTGTTCTTCATTCTTTCTGAGAACGATGATGACGTTGTTTGCTTCCCAGTTCCGCTTGCCATCATAGTGTTGTCTGTCGGAGATCTTCTAGTTGCCGCTACTTCAGTTGAGATGTCGGACAGTTCCGACATCTCTTCCCGATCCAATGTCCCGGTGGAAGTGGCAAAATCTTGGCCTTGTTCTACCGGAGTAGATTCACTCGCCAGCCTTCTGCCTCCCCCTTCCAGTCCATTTACTTCCTGGTTGTCGTTCATGGTATGGTCCGTATTGACCTCCACTTCTAACAGTTCTCTTCGCTCTTCTGAGGTCTTCTGACTTCTCGTTTCAACCATTCTGCCTGAAACCGTCTCCTCTTTATCGGACCGGGATCGCTTGATCCAATCCACAAAAGGATCGGTCATCGTTTTTCTTTGCTTTTCAGGTATGAATTTCCTAGAGCTATTACCTCGTTTTGGTATCCTTGACTTGTCTAGACTCATTTTCTATTTGTCACTTTTTAATGCCTATACTTAACTCGATTGCTAGAGACCTTATAGTTTTATTAACAATAATAATGACACAACACAATAAATTCCACAAGATTCTATTAAATAGTGACCAAGAATCCCTGTATGTTGTCAGAGTACAGTTTGTATAAAATTTATTCACACTAACCGATTATCGGTCCAAAGATTTTGAAATTAGCACAATATGATGTTATCAGTCAATTTAAAAGGTAGTGTACTCACTACCCAATCAAGCACAGTTTATGTTGATTTAAAATCAAAAACAAATAATTTATTTTGACACAATATGAATGTATTATATAAAAAAACGTATGTGTCTTGTACTCTTAGTCGGTCGCAGTACAATAGTCGAACCTGTCTTTTAAAGAAAAAGTTTTCCCTGCTCGGTGCTGCACCAAACAGACAAAACTTTGAAGGCAGTAATTTTCTCAAGTGGGCGTCTATTGCACCCACCGAGTACTGTGTTACCTATCTGCCTTCGGATTGCCCGAGCTAGACCTACTAAAATCCTCAGGGCAGTCACTTTTCCCAAAAACGTATTATGTTTCAATCCACACCAATGAATCACGCTCTTTTTAATTTAGACTTAGTGTCGCGAATATCCGAGTTCGGACCTGTTCTGTATTAGTCTGGTTCTTATTGAAAGGCAAGTTACCAGTGCAGTCACTGATACCTAGCCTGTGTGCTAATAACCTAATACCTCTCACTTTTTAGTCTTTCTTTCGTCTACCTAAGTCCTTAATAAAACAATACCCCTCCGGATTGGCACAAATAGGACCCTTCCGGATTGATAGAATCTAGACCCCTCCGGATTTGGACCCCTCTGAGTTGGTTACTATAAGACCCCTCCGGATTCGAACCCCTCCGATTTAGCAACTATAAGACCCCTCCGGATTCGGATCCCTCCGGATTCGGACCCCTCCTAACTTGAAAATGTTTGACCCCTCCGGATTGGGAGCCCTCCGGTTTTGTAAAAACTAGCTTTTCGGAGATTTCCTTTTTTCAACCTATACCCCTCCTGATACGTTCTCCGATGCAATTATGCTCTTTCAATTAACTGGGAAGGGTATGTGCTACCTTCCTAGACCCTTCCGGATTGAAGTTAAGCTTCTTATTTGACAATTCACACCAACGGTGAAGGGTCTTATCGCTGGCCCTACTTCGGCTCGATTAAGCTTTTGCTGTGCCTTTAGCCCTCCCTTTTGGTCTAGACTGGCCTAAAGTTACTTTATTTAACCGCTATTACCTTTTGGTAGGGGTCTAAGGGTTTTTCAGAAAAATTTATAAAACGTGAAGGGTGTACCCCTCCGGATTTGTGTAATTTGCTAAAAACAATCTCCAAAAATTTTCTCGCTCGCTTTTTTGAGTAATTCTCTTTCCTACTAGTAAGTTTAGCTAATTTCTGATCTAATGGTACCAAGATTAACCGCATCTGTCCAGTTTTCGAAAAGTTATTAGCCAAAATGTCTTTCTTGCAAACTCAAAAAATTTCTCACTTATAGGTTCCACCTAACTTTTTCCGCAATTCTGGTCCTTCCGACCTAAAAATTATTGATCCGAGCTCAGAAGGCCTATACTCTTCTAGTTCAATGCAAAAGACCCGATCTAAAACGCTTTTATAGAAAAAATTTGCGAAAAACTATGCTACCTGGACCCCTCCGGATTGATGAATCCACCAAATCAAACACGTTATGTCCGATTTCTCTGCAACCCGGAAGGCTTTCGGGTAGCGGGTTTTAAAACTCGTAGATTCACTAGTGGACGTTGTCCGAACAACTAATTTTACTGTCGTAACTCAAAAATTTCAAAAAATTTTTTAAATTTATATTGTTCCGTTTTCTCAAAAATCACGAAATTTCAGTTTTCGGTACCAAAATAGTTCCAACCACCTCCGGACTAAACTTAACCGGTTCTATCTATTGAGGTAGTGCAGTTACGATGTAACACACTAACTTAGCGCTTTTTTCCGTTTGAAAAAATATCGATATCTCAAAAATCGCGACTTGTGGGGGGATCAAAATATCGCTATTTTGACCCTAAAAACCGGTCTGTTTTCGTTGTTTTTCACTGAAAAACGATATAAGACTATTAATATAGGCTAAATAAATAATAATATTAGTAATGATATACCCCTCCGGGTTTCCTTAATATCCGAATTAAGGTGCTTAACTCGGATATTCGCAGTTCGGTGAACGGTCACTACAGTGCAGCACTGTCGAGCCCCCCACAGATTACTATCTTACTTTTTGTACCAAAAGGGCTACAAAACTTGTTAACGATACCCAACAGTCGATTGTTGTTGTCGTTGAGCCCCTTCTTGTTGCTCCTTGTACTGCTTGCCGGATCGGTCTTCACCCAAGACCCTTCCGAATTGAGCGCAAATCAGCTGACCCTTCCGGATTGAGCGCAATTTATCATTAACGTGCTTAAATGCTCAAATAACCCTACAGTACAAGCCTCACAAACGGGCTACAAAACTGATCGTAACAATCCTGACTGATATAAATGCCTGTAACAACAATATATCTATCAACAACAAACGGGGGGGGGGTCGGATCACATCTTGTCTGGGGGGATGATTTCTACTGATTTTTTTACTTTTTTACTGTTTTTGGTTTTTTTCGGCAATTTTTTATGTTTTTTGTTTTTCTTGGGTACTATACTACTTTTTGTTTGGTTTTACTTATATCTTTAAGTGTTTTTGGTCACAAACCACTCAGGGGATGAGGGAATGGCCGATCCCCCCACCCTTCCTGGTTCGTGAATTTTCGGTCTTAACTAAGTTAAAAAGCTATTCACGGTAATCCGGAGGGCTTCCGCGCTCCGAACCACCCCTCCGCCCCGGCGGTTTAGGCCTAATAAGGGCGTTAATTTGAACATCCGCTCGGCGCGGAGTGCTCGTTAACGGTTCTGCTGGTCATGATGTTAAAAAGAATAACACCCAGGAGCGCCATAAAAACATGTATGTAACATTCGCCCAGAAGATACATATCGACGGATAACAAAACTAAGTCTTAAGACGACTGGCTAACGTCTAAACAGAGCTTTGCATGCTTTTCACCGTCTCTACCAAGCCAGTACTTTTCGGTGGTCTTTCTAACATCGGGTCGACAAAAACGTTACTGTTCTCCGGCTTCGACCAGAACGCTCAAATTAACTTAATTACATGCAAATAGTGAGCTCATGGCTGGGTCTCAGTATCCCCAGACCACGAGGTCACTCCTAAAAACAGGGTTACTACTTATTATATTACTATTGTTTTTGTTCAGTAGATAAAAATCATCATCTCCACCGAAGATGGATCAACCCTTTCCCCCAACTCCTAGCACCTCATCCTTGTCAAAACTAATCCAAATATCAGTTAAATTCAAGTCAGGACATGACAGGATGCTAAAAGTTCATATAACAGGTTAAAAGTTTCAGTTCCGAAACCCTTCCGGATTTGTGAATCCACTGAATCAAGCTCCTTAAGTTCGATTTCACGATAACGCGGAAGGCTGGTTTTCACCCTTCACCGTTGTTCGCAACGGCCTTGCAACTATTGTAGCAGCACAATAGTTGCAACTCGGAACGTTCTCTGTAATTCGTTGTCGTTTTCTTTAATTTCGATTTCCGTTCTGTTCGCAATCACAGATAAAGTTGTTCTGTTCTTCTTAGTTCTTTTTGCTGAAATGGCCGTTTCTGACGTTTCTCAGAAATGTTACGTCATCACTTCGAAAATTTAAAATTTTAAAATACGGGAACATCCTGACCTTCACCGTTCTGCTAATCATCCGAATAACGTCGTTAATCCTTCAAAATCATTAACTCGGAAGGTTCACTGCTAAAATTTCGAAGTCTGCAGAGATTGCATTTTGTCCATTCTGGTCGAATGTCACGTGTTATGTAACAGAATATCACGTGTTACATAGACGTTTTTATCGGCTTCGGTCAAAACACTCAAATTAACTAGATTACATGCAGAAATAGTGAGCTCATGGCTGGGTCTCAGTATCCCCAGACCACGAGGTCACTCCTAAAAACAGGGTTACTACTTATTAAATTACTATTGTTTTTGTTCAGTAGATAAAAATCATCATCTCCATCGAAGATGGATCAACCCTTTCCCCCAACTCCTAGCACCTCATCCTTGTCAAAACTAATCCAAATATCAGTTAAATTCAAGTCAGGACATGACAGGATGCTAAAAGTTCATATAACAGGTTAAAAGTTTCAGTTCCGAAACCCTTCCGGATTTGTGAATCCACTGAATCAAGCTCCTTAAGTTCGATTTCACGATAACACGGAAGGCTGGTTTTCACCCTTCACCGTTGTTCGCAACGGCCTTGCAACTATTGTAGCAGCACAATAGTTGCAACTCGGAACGTTATCTGTAATTCGTTGTCGTTTTCTTTAATTTCGATTTCCGTTCTGTTCGCAATCACAGATAAAGTTGTTCTGTTTTTCTTAGTTCTTTTTGCTAAAATGGCCGTTTCTGACGTTTCTCAGAAATGTTACGTTATCACTTCGAAAATTTAAAATTTTAAAATACGAGAATATCCTGACCTTCACCGTTCTGCTAATCATCCGAATAACGTCGTTAATCCTTCAAAATCATTAACTCGGAAGGTTCACTGCTAAAATTTCGAAGTCTGCAGAGATTGCATTTTGTCCATTCTGGTCGAATGTCACATACTCCCCGGACAGTCCGGTCAATGTCCTCATTGAATCACGCAATGTTCGTAAAATAGATACAGTGTCATCGAACAGAATTTACAAAATGCACGAAATTACTTTTATCCACGTCACATCGACTCACTGCAGAATATAAATGGCATCATACTACATCACTATAGCCTTCAAATTCTTTCATTAATCTGCACATTGAGAATATGAATTAATATAAAACATATTTTCTGACTTCCAATGTCAATGTCCCGATTAAAACTTTTTCTCTTAGATTTAAAAGGTGTTGGCTTGCAGGACAGTCCTGCCAACCAACAAACTAAAATTATCCTACTATGCTCCTTCCCTTCGGAAATCTTGCTTGTTATTGTCCTGAATATTAAAACTAAGAAACTCTGTGGTTAGAAATAACAATGAAACAATCTCCCTCTTCGAGAGATTACTCAAGCCTGTCACGTCACCACAAAGTGATCAGTCTTCCTAAGTGATTAAAAACAATCATGCAGGCCGGAATATTTAAATATACTCTTCCCTTAATCCTTTCTAAATAAATAATAAGTGAGTGTCTCTAAAGCCACTTCAACTAAAATCAAAATGCAAATTTATAAATGCAACAATTTCAAAACTCAACTAAATGTTTCAGTTTTCAATTACAACTTGGTTGCTTGGTTGCTCACTTGAGTTTTTCACACACATAAAACAATTCTGAGTTTCAACTTTTCTTCATCACTCCTTTGTTCTCTTCTTTTTTTCGTCGTTTAGAAGTTCTAAAACTTCTAAATTCTTCTAATTTTCTTTATTGTTGCCTCTTGTTTTCTCGACCATTCATCAATGTTCCATTTCTTCCTCCTGTGATACTGACTCCGCACTTTCGGTTTCCGTGTCTTGTAGCACATCGTTGGCTATCCTGACGCTGTTGGAAGCCGTCCTCCAACACTTCTGCTCTTCTACCCTCTGTTTACAGCAAGGTAGGGGATCCACGTTGGATTCTCTGTTTCTGCAGAAACTCTTGTGGAGACACAACGTCACGTTTCTCTCCAAATCTTCTTTCAGCATCTCTGCCTTCTCATTTCCACCACGCTCACTCGTCCTGGAAATTCTTTTCACGGCGGTAGTCACTGCATTCCGATGAGTCACGAAAGCTCGCTTGAAAGCTCCTGCCCCAATGTCCAGCTGATATTCACTGTACACTCTGCCATGCTTCGACATATGCTTTTTCGCATACTCGTACAACCATGCAGTCATGTTAGCTCTGAACCATGGCATCAATCGTTTTCTCGCCCATATCTTCTTCACTTCCATCGGAATGTTTAGAACTTTGCACATTGTCTCAAAAAGATCTAAATCTTTTAGACAATCTAATTTCCGCAATTGTTCTCTCGTCGGCGCCTCTCCCAACCGATCCTGCACGTCTGTTCTTCGACCTGGTTCGCTGGAGCTTTGTTGCCGGTAATTCGTGACGGCTGGGACCGTACCCAGGCGTGTTTCCAGGCTAGGAGGCACAAAGGTGGTAATTACCGCATCACTCACCGTTCCCCCTTCCTTCAGCACTCCTGTGTCAAAAAGTTCTGCTTCCAGCTCCTCCAATCGTTCTTGGAAGACTCGATTCAACCAAGCTTGCCCTTCGATACTGTCGAAGTGGATGCCATCCGTGGTCAGTCTGGCCTGATCCATGGCTCTCAACTCATGTTCAATGTCCATGAGGATCATCCTTCCGGCATTTCGATTTGCTAGGTTCCTCAGGATGTTGTTCCATCTCATGACTCCCTCGTTGTGCCTCCTTCCTGATGCTGTCAGGCTTCTCGTATTCATTGGCACAGTGCAAACGGTCAGTACCGCGCAACTGAACTTCTGCCAGAGGATAGTGAACAAACACACCATCATTGACTCCCACAGTGCTTCCTGCTCGTCTGATCCTCTGGAGATGTCATTCGTCCCAACTAAGATCATCACATTGGGAATCGTAAGACTTTTCAGACATTCTCGCCAATCTCACACACTTCGGCACCGAGAAGGCTTGATCCACAATCGTTCTTGTACTCTTCACGTCCACAGCTACGAAATGTACAGGATACCTGCTCTTGCACATTGGAGCCAACGTTGAATCCACCAAATATCGTGCTCCTGATGGTCTACAATAAGTTTCGTTGTGTCTGATGTTCATCTCTGTTTCGATTGCTTCCCTCCATTTTCCTAGATATTTCTGCTCAGTCTGCAGAACTCCTGGGAATACTTCTACGCTGATGGCTGTGACCATCTCATGTTTCTGTTCTAGATTCAATAGTGACTCTAAAGAACCAAACTTGCTGTAGAATCCTAGTGCAGTCACTAGATTCACATCGGTTCCTCCATGGCAATCTGCTATCAGTTCCGTTTCTGTTCTTGCTTTCATCACTACATTTCCAAACAATATTGTCAATTGCTTGTGTTGTTTCTCCAGGGTTTTCACACAGACTAGACCTCCACAAACATGACCCTCCAGTCCACAGACTTCCGCCAGACAGCTACCAGGCTTGACCCAGTCTTCCGGTCCCCAGCCAGGCAACTCTACTTTATCTTCTCCGTTGCTCTTAGAGGCTGTTATCATCACATTATATATGATGTTGAGGTCACGCAGGTTACAGTCTGCATTCAGTTCCCTCTGTACGTCTTGTGTCGCCCGTAATATTGAGTCAGCGTTGGGACTAGGACACCATGATGGCCTCATCAATTCCCACACTGCCATCAAGCTCGTTCTCAGTAATTCATCTGAGAATCCCAACCCAAACTCCACTCTCTTGTCGGATCTTGGTACTGAAGGTGCAGTCACCTCTTCTTCCAAGACCAATCCCAATTTGGCCTGTGGATTGTTAACGCTCTTAATCGTTACAATTCTGGATGTCCAGAATCTTAGTAACCCCGCCTGCTCATAATCAAAGAAGCAATCGCGTATGTCTTCACTCAGGAAAGGATTGTACGCTATCCCTATAATCCCGAATACGTAGCTATATGACTTCTTCTTGATCGGTCCACAGTATTCACTGGATTTCGGCAATGCTCCCATAGATTCTTTAGTGAGTCTCAACTCCTTGTTTGAGAATCTCCTGATCTCGTCTATCTTTTTCATGGGTTCCAATTCTTCAGGTTCTTTCATGTTTACCCTCATCGGTTTACTTTGCTGCATATCCAGCATTGCTAGTAAGAACAAGGCTTTCGTTCGCTCATCGCCTTCCCTCAACATTTTAACACAAGTGTTTAACGCAGGTACTGAAATCTGCTCTATCAGGAATCGAATGAAACAGAGAGCGTCTCTCCGCTTCGCACACGCTACTGCTGCCCCCTCCTGGACTATCAGATCCCTCAGATTCGTCATAAGGAAAACCTTTTCTTCTTTTGATCTCTTTCTTTCTTCTGAATCATATTCTTCGCGAGTCAGTCCCATCATGCACCAGGCGAACCTGAGTTGTAACTCTGTCCTTACGTAAGGTACTGCCACGAGAGCATGTATTCTTGGCGTAGTCCTCATTTCTTCTTCGAAATACCTCAATACTACTGCTTTCCATGGAAGGCTCACTAACTGCTCGATTGTTTCCGCCTGTATGTCAGACGACGCCAAAGTTCCATACGCCTTCTGCTTGAGGGTGGCGCCTTGCAACATCATTTTCAGATAACCCTCCATGGCTTTTTCGTCTTCCAGGGCCATTACATACCCTCTAGCCGAGTTCCGGCATTCCAACATCTCCATGTATCCTCCAGTGGGTTCATCTATCGACACTGTCTCTGACACGGTTAGTCGGTTGTATTCCACTGGTGTTAGTTGTCCTGCAACACTTCCCTTTCCATGATTCATGGGAGATGGCTTGAAGTCCCTCATTTTGCTCTCTCCACATTGGCTGAGTATTTCCATTTCTAACGTTGCTCCAGTCAGAGTGCGGTCACTCCTTTTGGATTTATAACCGGTTGACTTTATCCCCGCCATGAGAATGGGTGGCACCATCGCTATATCAGTTAATATTCTATCTGTGCCGGACAATTGATAATTACCTTGCCCCAAATCCATAACTTCTTCGACTCGCTTCCTTTTCGCTGAGTTACCAGCTTTCATCGATATTTCTGAATCCCCTTTCGTCTTTCCAATTCTCCTCGGCATCACTCTGCTGCCTAACTTCATTTTCATCGCATTGATTTTATCAATCACCATTTTCGATCGCATCGTCCCTCTCCTGGTTCTTGACAGATACACCACCTCTCCTTCATCGTCCTGCGGTGTCATCTTGATGGGAGAATTCGCTTCACTCTCATCAGTGGCTGAGTCGATCAACAACTCACTCAGTCTCCCTTCACACTCATCAAGCTTGTCAAGTACTTCTCTCATCAAGGGTTGATTGAGACCTGTTTT